TCTCCCGTTGTTGATGATACTGAGTTGAAATGGTCAGATTCATATTCATTACGCAAGCTACTGGTTATCTTAAGTCAGTGAATAACACGTTGGACCTGGAAGCAACTGGTACTATTTTTGAGTCTCAGTGCGACGGTCAACGGTGAGATCCATTCTCATTCAGCTGACGCTCACTAAATGGGAATAAACAAATGTCCAGTATCCTAATGCTAGTCATTATCCAGCTTTAATTAAATGATGTATTTTATCAGTGTATCTTTAATAAATTTCTCAAAGTACTATCTTTACTGGAAGAATGACCCCATATTCATTTATCTACTGCCGAATGATTACCTTATAATTTCAAAGCTACTAGTTACTACCATTATTTTGCTATCAATTTGGAAAATAATGAATTCACTGATATACTGAGTAAATTAGAAATCGACCGGATCATAAGCCCACACTGTTGGTCAAGAAATAGCTTACATTTCCGAGGAATGAGATATACTATAGATGGCTCAATTTTACTAGGGATATATATATATATATATATCGGTTAGCCGTAAAATATCCTTCATAATTTCGTCTTTTCTTTCAACTAGCCAGTTCGGTTAATACATAGATATATTGCGTATCTGTATCAAATATCTCACATTACAACCTTCATGGCAAATTAAGTTCATGTTGTATAAAATGGGAAGTGAAGTAATATCAGTGTCATGTATCTAACAATAAGGGAAAGGAGGTAAATTGCTGTTTTGTTTGAAGGAATGTGTAATTAATCTGAGCGTAAATGCTGCAGCCATCTGATATTTTATAAGGCTTTGTTAACATGCTATATCATCCATGATTAAAAAAAACATCTGAAACGAATATTAATTGTATAATTAGTCAGTTAGTATTATGAATGATGCTCTTTCAAAGGGAAAATCCATATGGAAGGATCTCAATCCATTCAAGAGGTGAAACTTCTACCAACAATACCGATTAAACTGTCCTTTTCATTTATCGCTGGAGATGACTGATTCACCTGACGAGATAGAAGTCCACTGGGAACTTCAACTCCTGGAGTGCCACAAATCTTCAGGTTCAAATGCCTTACCTTCAAGCCTTTTTAAGGATGGTGGCGACCTCTATTTATGGGACTGAGTTATTCGCAAACGTTTAACAATTCCAGAATGCCCCAAAACCCTAGGGTAAGACGATAATTGTCCCTGTGGTCAGAAAGGTTTTGTGTTAATCAGTCAACAAATATCGGGGAATAAGTCTACTTCCAGTTGAGTCCAAACTACTGGCTTCTATCACGTTTCCCATACTAGTCAAAACCAATGAAAAATTGACTCGCTAGGAGCAGGCTGGTTTTCTTTCTAGTGAGGGATATATTGACCATATTTTCAATCTCCACCAGCTGTTATAACACTATCATACTTATTACAGGCTAACAACCATTGTTTCGTGATATCGGGCCCACCGGTGATTTTCTGGACAAAAATGTTCTCTCGTACTGTCTGTAGAAGAAGCATGTATTTGGGAAGTTTGATAACATTTTAAAGGCCCTAAATACGAACAACTTAGACAGACTGAGGGCATACAATTACCTGTCCACTGTTCCACTCAAACAGTGTGATTAGGTAAGGTTGATGAACGTCACTATCCCTCTTCAACTTTGCCACCGATGACTTTCTGAAAGCATCTCTGATGGAAGCAGGTGATGTTTGTTTGGATTTACTACCTAGTAAAAGACTTTACCGCCTTGAGTATATGGATGGTACCGTCTTATTATGCAATGATACCCAATTCATGCAATTTGGATTTAATCAGTTGGCAATTAGAGTCGATGGGTATGACATGTGATTTGCTCCTTATGAGTATAAAGCGTTTTTACAATCAAGAGCTGATGGTAGCGTGAATGTTGAAATCAGTCCATGCATAATAAAGGCCAAAGATGCCTATACCAATCTTAGTCATCTTTGGCACCTTCATGATGTTATTCTGGCTACAAAATGTTGGTTCTACAGCGCGTCACTGGGAGAAATCTTCCTCTTAATTTCCCACTCAATGAAATAAATGTACTGTTTATCGTGAAACATACAGGTCTCGATCTATGACGAAAAAGCTAAACATTGTTCCTGGATTTCCAGTTTTTCTTCCCAGTTATTTTTAATCGTTCTACAAATCACTGAGATGCTGTTCAGAATCTCCGAAGAACTACCTTTTTAATAAATTTAAAAAAAACAGTATAACATAATCTGATGAACGTAAGCGGTGCAATCATGGTGAGTGGTAAAATATGATTACTTACTTCAAGATCATTCAATAATACTATTTTAAAAAAAGCTGTGACTTATTTATTTACTCCTAAACCTGAAGAAATCACCATACATAGTCGTGTCAAATTAGTCAGATTTCAATTTGTTTGAATGGGTGAAGACTATGTAACAGTTGGCTAAGTTATAATCACAAGAATAGCCTTCCTCATATTCACATAAAAATATGATTGATTTTTCTTTGGAATGATTAACATACGTACCATATTGAGATAGTGGAGAAGATTTTTAGCTCAGGTGGGTGATTTTGATGTAGGTTTGTTCTCTGAGCTCCATGACCAAACCATCCAGCTCAGAGAACAAACCTAAATCAAAATACGTTCCATATCATACGCGAATAATCCAATATGATAACATGGACAAAAAAATTAAATATAATGGTGATATTTTGATTTCACTAGTGTGTAAATGAATAACAAACCTATCTATCCTTTAACAGTTCGTATTTTTCAAATGACATATAATTACTAATTACTGTGTTAATGCTCTTTACATAAATGTATCATTTATTTACATAACAATTTTGATATTTAGTTTTTGATATCAGTTCACTGAAGTAAGGAGTTAATCAATTGAACACATTTAATATTTACCGAATAGGATTCCATTTATTTTAAACAAGCAAAATATATTCATCATAAACCTATAAAACCTTTATCTACAACATAATATTAAGTCTTGTACGGTAGTTTTTGGTCAGTTAATCACTTAGTATATGCTATTCTTAATGCATCTCGTTATATTCGTCTTTTTGAAGTACATTATTCCTAATTGTATAGCCCTCTGGGGTCACTCGTTAAACTATGTAACAAAAATACTTGTGACTAATATAACATTTAAAATACTAGCCTCAATAATTATCTAACGCCTTACAAAGACTCGTGAACTGCAAACACGAGGAAATCAGACTGGCTTCAAAACTGATCGTGGCTGTATCGACCACATATTCACCATTCGTCAAGATTTAGAACACAGACATGCTTATCGGCGTCCGACAATGATAGTTTTTCTTGACTTGAAAGCAGCATTTGATTCTGTAGACCGAGAGGATCTGTGGCAGTGTCTGTCATTGAAAGATGCACCTGAGAAGTACATAAACCTTGTGTATGCTCTTTACTCGAACACTACCAGTCGAATCAGAGCTTATGGCGAACTGTCATCTGATTTTACAACCTCAAGTGGCGTCCGACATGGCTGTCTACTACCCCCATTTTTGTTTAACTTCATCATAGACCTAACGAAATCTCTGCACGGATTCAGAAAGCTCGTTCGGCTTTTGCCAACTTACGTCACCTATGGCGAAGACGAGATATCCGTCTATCAATTAAGGGACGAGTATGCTGCGCATCAGTTCGCTCTGTTCTACTTTACGGCTGTGAAACATGGCCATTAAGAGTAGAAGATACTCGTAGGTTACTAGTATTTGATCACAGATGCCTTAGAAATATTGCTCGCATCTGCTGGGATCACCGAGTAAGTAATAGTGAGGTTAGACGCAGGGTATTAGGAAATGATGGTAAATCAGTTGATGAGGTTGTGAATCTACATCGACTGAGATGGTTGGGCCACGTGTTACGTATGCCTGAACACCGATTACCACGACGAGCAATGCTGACTAGTACTGGGGATTGTTGGAACAGAGTTAGGGGCGGACAAACCAAAACATGACATCAGTGTTTGAAGTCACTAACTTCTAGTCTGAGCCATGTTGGTAGATGCAGACTACCTGGTTGGGGTCCGTGTGACTATCGTAATCAATGGTTGGAGACTCTGGGTGACATGGCTGAGAATCGATCACAATGGCGTAGGTGTATATACTTTTTGTCTTCCCTTAACAGGTGAGATTAAAATGGCTTTATACTTTTCTTTGCATAAACTAATTCTTTCTCCCTATATTGTATCTTTATATACAACTACTATGGATTTGGTGTACATCTTGTGTTAATGAGGTGTGGACACTTGGAAAGATGCATATATGTGTTTGGCCGTACGTTGTGGCTGACTAAATACTTGCATTGCCAATCTTTCCACTGATTAATAGAAAAAGATGAAGATAATACTAGAATTCTTCAAGATATCACGAGACGGAAAGTTGAAACATGTACTGCTGTTAAATGTTTACAGCCCGTAATATCACCACAACCTAAATATGAAAGCGTATATATATATATATATATATATATATATACTTACAATTAATGGACCATTGGGTAATGAACAATGTCGTGTGTATCAGGTCCTTCTTAATGCAGATCGACCAAGTTGGAATGTGAGCAATAGCCTAGGTGACTGGACATTGCGTGCACTATGTTGAAATGTAAGGTAGTTTTCGGAGGTGGTTGACAGGAAACCCTAGTACGCCTTACTGACGAGAACCAAATAGAATAAAAACCTAGGTTCAGAGTTTCCTATCGACTACCTCCAACCACCATCTAATGTATATAGGGAGTCGATAAATTATAGAGTCTGATGTACCAATGAAGACAGAAGGACTAATGTGAAGACAACAAAACAACTGAACTAAACACACTGGGAAAACCAGATTTGCATATTTTCTACTTTATCGAATAATACATTGTAAGTGTTGGTAACTTAAAAATACCGATAAACTTCTGAACCATTGGAAGCAAAGCTGAGTAAATCCCACATTAGTTTTTCACTGTACTGTCGTGAAAGAAAAATACAGATTCTCAATTAATGAATGTGTAATAAAAAAATTATAAAACAGCATTATACAGAATATCAATAATACATCGAAATAACAGTACAAAAAGTTAACATGAAATCTTGATCTCTGATGCATTATTCATTGACGTAATGCTCAGTTAGGCTACAGTAGTGATTCTTGTTCGTCCAATATTAACCTGCCAAACATTAAGATCTTCATATGCTTCAATGACTTCATTAAGCTGAAAAAACCAACATAGAAAATTTGATTACTATCACGAATATAACTCAAAATTGAAGACAGTTAAAGACGTATTAAGCTTTTCCTGAATTCTGACTAAACATCAATAACGTAAAAACAAACAAACGTTTAGAGAATGAATTTAGCATAAAGATTTCTTCTCAGTAGCTAACTGTATGACTCCTTATTTTTCTGCCTTGTGCATACATGAGTCGTTTGTGACAGAACAATAGATATGTTATAATCAATTAGAGTTACAATAGCAATATAAAAAACCCGACGATCGAAATAATGAAGATTCGTAGTCTAGGTTGATACCTTTGGTTGAGTTACGTCCTGAGTTGGCTTGTTTATTTGTGTAGTTTTCATTATCGTTTTCGACACTATCATGAGCGCTTACTTTACATGAAAGTCAGCTGTTTGATTAAGTTACAAGTGTTAAGTGACCCTACTCTGATGACCTTGTCTTTGAATAGTCATCTTAGACCGTTTTGGCAGTTTTATTTGAGTTTGCATTTCTGTTGAGCACTTAATTCCGTTGACTTTTGACCACTTGAATGGTTGACCTTTTCCGTATATACTGGTCAATACGGTCTATGTTGATATGCTTGTTGATCGCAGATTGACCCGAACGCTATGTTTCCAAAAACTCTTACTGGCATTCTCTGAATTTCCACGATAAAGAATTTAAAGGTTTCGCATATCAAGTCCATGTTTATGTTCGTCTGTGTGGATTAATATGATTAATAATATATCATTTCGTTTAGATTATAGTTAGTGTTTCTGCATGTGCGAACTAAGTACAGATGATGTCTGGAATGACAATGAAAGTTTTATAACTAAATTATCCAGCTCAGAGAAAAAAAAAGCGAGATCAAAAACACTTGGAGCTTTTTCCAATAGACCTAGAGAAAGATCAATGAATTATAAGAATATTTCTTAAATACACAATTGTGTAGAGTAGGCTTGATACACCGAAAGTAATTTGGTAATGAAGAAAATCGATGAATCAGTATATATGTACTGAGATAGTAAGAATTTAGAGTGAATTTCCTAACCAAGAAGAGATACTAATTTTATTCACAAATTACAACATATACTTTTCTATGATTTAAACTTGATGAATCAAACAACCTGAGCTGGTGTATATCCTTTAGTTGCACAACGTTCAGCGATATCAGCAATTCGTGCTGTCCCATCACCGGCAGCAGTTAACTCACGAACAATATGGTAAATTACATCTTTGTACGACTGAGGACTGGAGAAACGAAAAAGAGAAAAAAACTAATTACTATGTTATTAATTTACTATTTTTGGATAAAAAATTAAACTTTTCTGAAACGACACAGAATAACATTTGGCAAGAGTATAGTACAGTACAGTTCAACTCAAGGAACCAACTGACTGTTTAATCAATGTAACCATATATAGCTTTTGATATATTTCAATGTCGAATAAATTTTCATGTCATCATCTCAGACTTTTCATGCATCAATAATTCGCATCAGCTTTCATTCAGCTATAACATGAACAGCGAGTGGAAACATATATAGAATAATGAATGGTACGATCAAGTTATTGTACTAGTACTATGGAGTACAAATTCCAAGTTATTTTAAGTAAAAAACAATAAAGAGTTTCAATTCATTTATATTGGCTGTTTGAATCTTCTTACTGACGTTTAGGACTGAAATTGATCAGCCTTTTGTTGACATATGTGCATGTTGTGCGGATTGTCTTCAGATTCCCGTCCACATAGGATGCACAAATATGTCAAAAAATATTGATCAATTGTGTGGTTCTAAACATTAATGATTTATTTATTTATATATTTAAACACATAAATATTGATACAAGGAAGCACCAGATAAATATGCGCCTCACAAATCTCATTCGATTTGTATGAGGGTTGTGATACTGCCCAGGTCAGTCAGTCAGTCAGCTACAACGTAGGACCAGGCACATTTATGCATCGGTCCAAGTTGCCATACCTAACTCATTAGCACAACAAGATGAACACCGGATTCATATAAGTAATTAATTTAGTGGTGGTAGTATATAAAGAAAGGTTGTATAGAAGGATATAGTACAGGAAGGAAGAGAGATATGAAGCAATTTTAATCTCAAGGTTTAAGGGAGGATAAATAGTGTATACACCTACGCCATTGTGATCGATTCTCAGCCATGTCACCCAGAGTCTCCAACCATTGGTTATTTATTATTATTATTAGCTTTATTCAATATTATATTATTTGGTACAAAATCGAATTCTCAGCATAAAGTATTTCAACATGTTTACGTTTCTTATTTCTTCGTTGCTCCTGATGATAAACATTCAGTGATCGCCAGTTGGATGTCAGCAGTTTAGTCAATCGACATATGAATAATGTATATTCTTTTTGCTGCATGTTCCCAGCAAACACGACATCTCTGATTAGGCCTTTTGTAACCTTTACAGCGAAAGGTTGTACAGTTTTCAGAAACGCACCGGAATATGTTGTGTGCTTAATAGCCATAATGATGTATTAAAACAAACAATATTATATAACTTGTTGAAATATATAGATGACGGGAAACAGGTAGCCCAGATATTTAAGCAGGCCGCCCATGTTTTGCCATGTTTCGCCATTCGTTCCTTCAGGATACTGGAGCCCACGTGAACCATTGCACATGCCAGAAGCTATCTAGACTCAGTAGCTAAATGGATAACGCGATGACATTTGAAGCGAACGGTGCTGGGACCGAGTCCCGGAATGAACATCAGTTCTGGGGTGCGAGTGCATCCAACTTATGAGTCTCGAATAAGTCAAAACAAGCATCCCGGATTTCACTACTAACCACCATCCACCACGTATGATAAAGTTTCGCAGAAAATTACTTATGATGCACAATAAAAAGCATATGTTTGAATCTACATAATAGATCTCTTGCAAAAAACTTATACGAGTACACTGGTTTTGAATAGGATACAAGTAGCTTCAGAAATATGTTATTTGGAGTTTTAGAAACTCACTTATCAAACTTATGGGTAACTAGATACAGGTGGAAGTGTTTGCATGGTCAACCTTTACAATCGATTCTTCAAGACAGAAATTAAGTATCGTTTTTGGAAATAGTATTTTCTCGGAGTAACATCATCATTTGCAAACTGTAGTGAAGATAACATTATTATTGATTACAGTCATAGGCAGAGAATCCAGCTACGTCATGGTTACAAACAGACCAGAATAAGGAAGACACGTGTAAATTGATTACACCAAAAATCCCAAACATAATTGATACACATCAAAATAACTTACCGTCCTGAACGATTGGAATCTTCGTAGGATGTAATAATTGATGCACGGCTAGCTTCCATAAGACGCATAGCTTCATCTATATCGCCTTTACTAACCTCCGAAGCTGCGCGAAGCCGAGCACGGGCTGTAGACAGTCGCATTATAGCTAGAAGAGTTCTGTCAATAGTATATTAGAAAAAAACACAACAATGATGTGCGAAATACTACGGAAGACTAGTACGATTCTCGAATCTTTCTATGGCACAACTATGACAAAATTAAGTTACGAACTCATTAATTGATAATTTAAAGAAATTTAGGCATGACGAACATAGAACCTAATACCTAGATACTAAAACATACATTTTTATATGCCCAAAAGCACTTTGCCTATTAAACTGCTAGAACAAAAATACTAGCTTACATATATGGTGAATGATACTGAGACAAGTAAACATAACTTTTTACTTACAATAGCTATGGATAAGATACTCAATTAATTTTTACGTGAATGCTCGCTCGTAAACGCGCTTAAATATCAGCTGTGTTGTAAAGAATTTAGATAACAATCATCTGATTTTATTTGCGGAGGTTAGTGATATGTCTTGTGATTCTTTGTATAGAAAATTTGTTATACTGACCATTAACAACAGGTTAATTCATATAAAATGCATCTTAACATCATCAATTAGCAGTTAGTTAGTTGAGAAAGCCACTTTACAGAACGATGAATAAGGAAATGCAGCAATTTAACTTCCGCGATATAACTAGAGATTCCTACTGTTTCTTGAAGTTAAATCACATGTAAGAACTGGAGAGAGAAAATGAATAAATTTAAAAACTCGAGATGTCTAGTTTTACACAATAAGGTAAATAACACTTACCTTGCACTTGTATAAGTCATTTCTTTGTTTGCACGTGCTTCTTTCCTCATTTCTACATAAGCACCAACCAGATAATCGGCCAAATGAGCAGGAACGGCTGGGGCGGGTTGAGCTTTGGCAACAGCGATAAGACGACGGAGTTCAGGGAGCGATAGCAGTTGTTGATGATTCGTACTTGAAGTTGAATCAATCTGTGAGTCAGTCGCTGATGGAGCAGATCCATGCATGTGCACAAAAGTAATATGTTGTGCTAATCTAAGATCATGTTCCCTAAAATGAAAAAAGTGACCTGTTAAAACATTTAAATTACAAAATGAGCAAAACAAACTATAAAAATTCCACGATCTTCAGATATATACTAATAATAACCATATGCTAAACTAGTGGCTAGATTTAAGATGCAACTTTTGGAGATGTGACCAGTAGAGTTCAATCATGTCGGATGAAATATTTATCTACCACAGGCAATGGATAAAGGTTGGGCAATATCGTAAAGTGATTGAAGTTAGGTATGTACACTGTTGTCCTTTGCCCCTGTCAATTGTCACGTGACATAAACGCCAATCAAAATAATGACTCCCATGGCCTTGTCCCTGTGCTAAGTCAATGACACGTCAACCAGCGCTAACAGCCTTTCATCAACTCTGAACCCTTATTGGTTCCCAATACGGTAGCTTCCACCATAAAAATGATTATGATCTTCAGAGGATTAGTAGAACACTGATACTGCACTGATGTACAAGCTAAAATAAGTCTAAATCGAATTCAGTATATTAAAATAGAATAACATCACTTAATTTGTTGCTCTAGTGAGTTTTAGGATAAGATTCTACAGTTATTTTGTACCACAATTATAAAATAACAAAATGGACAAGAATAAAATGTACCTACCGGTCAGGTTTATCTTGAATCAACCACAGTAAATCAAAACGAGAAAGCAAGGCTGCAGGCAGATCTACATTTTGTTCTACACTTTTATTAGGATTATAACGTCCATAAGCTGGATTAGCTGCAGCAAGGATTGCAACTCGTGCATTCAGTGTTGTGAGTATACCAGCTTTAGCTATGCTGATGGTTTGCTGTTCCATTACTTCATGTATGGCTGTGCTGAAATATTCATTACAAATAAGACCGAATATTAAATTAACTTCCAAAATATTAAAGCAAATCAGTAGAAACATAAATATTTTAAATTTATTTTAGTATTGTTCGTTTGAATCTTCCCATCGATGTATTAGGACTGCAACTAGTCAGTCTCTTATTGGCGATATGTGCATACTGTGCGTATTGCCTCGATATATCCATCTTTGCTTACCATAAATATTTTAGTTTATAGGGTAGATATAAATGAATTGCGAGGCTACTAGTTTCACACAATGAAGATGGTTAGTTTAATCTAACTGCCTGATAAATTGTAAGATGAACTACCAAATACTGCAATCGCACAAATAATAAAATTACCCTGTTGTCTATGTTGAAATAAATGTAGTGGATTAGTAACTATAAATCGAATACCTAGGACCACTAAAGCACTTTTATTAAGTGATATGTAAGATCGAAATTGTCAGATAACATTACACATTCTCATTAGTGGGAAAAAGCTTTACTATAAACCGTTAATTTACTTGTTACGTCAGATGAATAAAATAATGAAGAGTATTATTAACGGTCGACAAGTTGATTGGTGCAAAGCTTTATCAACTTAGTTCAGATATTTGATATTGGGCAAATGTCTAACATATAAACTGATAAGTGGTCGCCCAGTGAAATAACATGATGATACTAAATTATTACTGCTCAACAGACGCTGGCTATTTATTGGTTGCTTTCCAGCCAATAAACAATTGAAGAATACACATATATTTCTATTCTTAATTCGATTTTATTGCGCCTAGCCAGAAAGAGCCCCTGAGAAAACTACCTGCTTCAGTTTGGGCACCTGAGAAACCTAAATACAAATTTGATGACTACTTTGTATGTCGGATATATATTTTGATGCCTCCTAGAACCAATATACGTGTTCAAGTGAATAAATAAACAGTCAAAGAGAATTTGATCGGTAAGAAGATGGTCATGATGTTGGAGAACCCGTGCAATGATAAGAACTGAACATTTTGGTTTGTGGCCTAAAAATGGAGGCGACAAGACAAATACGCAGTACCTTATTAGTGAGAGTTTTGCTGCCTTATGGTTTTTTTCTTTTCAGTAACTTTTTTTATGGTTTGATTACGTAACTACTATTATTTATGTTTTCCTCTTTGTTGAACTGTACGCAAGGAGTGTCAACTTGTATTAGTTATTACCGCATCGGTTCTGGGCCATATTTCGTTTGTGAAACGATTTTTATACAAGCTGTTTAAAAATTTTATGGATTACCTGCACAACAGAATAAACAGCCCAGCTATGGATTTATGGAACATGTGCTATTCTTTTATCAACTAGGCTATAGTAGGAAAAAAGTAAACTATTGAGACTACAATAAGTCATTTGTCTGCATCTGAATCAAAGAAACATTACATAACATTCTTGACCAGAAATTGACTTGTCCTATCTAAACAATATAAGTGTAACTCAGTACCCGGTTACAGAATATGAGGCAGGAAACTATTAGTACTCACCGATCGAATTCCGTCATTTTATCGAATTCGTCAATGCAACATACTCCTTGGTCCGCTAATACCAAAGCTCCTCCTTCCAAAGTCATTTCACCTGGAAAATGGGTGGATTACAGAATAGGGATTTAATCATCACAAAAAGAGATGAAACCTTAAGATAGCAGTATCCGTAAAGAAAACAGGAAGCAGAAAAGGACAAAAATCCCTAGATATGATTGTCGAATTACTTATCATAGACTAATTATTAGTTAAGTGACTGAAGTAGCGAATACTGTGCTAACAATAGATAAATGAGGAAATAGATTACGGATCAGGTAATTATTTGACACTCCGACTTTTGTTATTAGGATATGGAATATCTACGACTGGCACAAACAATCTCATGTACGACCTGCTGTTTCAAAGACTGCGGATCAGCATAAACGAAATAACGGATTAGGTGGTTTCCAGTATGTGGTAAGATTTAAGAATTTAATCAAAGGTCGGTATGGATTTTACGGTTAATTAGAATACACTCGAACTATATTTGCAATATTAATGTACAGAATGTTAATCTCCTGTCTAAATTAATGTACTGTTGCAGTGACATAGCTTTGGATACACTCTAGTTAGTCAATAGTCAACCGCTTGTATTGAAGTTGGGTGAGATATATATACAGTAACAGAGTAGGTGTAAGATTTTGCACTGATAGACAATGGTATTCCCATAATACTTTTTAAAATGTCAGGATATTCTTACCGACGATTTTTCCGGCCCATAACAGAAATTAGCTGTCTAGTCATTTTAACTGTTAGAGGTTTTTAGTGAGCCAATGTGAAGTATATCTGAGAAGTTATTCTAATGAAGAATTGTCATTGCATTATTCATGAAGTGATTAAAGTGAAGTGAATACAAATCAAAGGTAGAAAATCGTACTAATAAAGATATAAACAGGAATTAATCAGCTGTTTCAAGATTGAGTAACACGGGACTTATGAGCTACGGAAAGAAACAACTCACAAACATAAAAAATAAATTACCTGTTAGTGGATCTTTCATGACTGAGGCTGTTAAACCTACTCCAGAACTACCTCGACCAGTCGTATACTGTGATCTAGGGCTAAGGCGATCAACAAATCCCAGTAGTTGAGACTTAGCAACTCCTGGGTCACCCATTAAACAAATATTTAAATTCCCTCTAATTCGAAGTCCTTCTTTAGGAGCTAACTCCACACCACCAACCAGCAATAGAAGTAAAGCCTTCTTGACATCTTCGTGGCCATAAATTTCAGGAGCTAAGGATTGAGCCATTAGTGAGTAAAATTCCAGATCTGTAAAAGAACCCAATTTAATTAAAATATAGTATTGAGTATAAGAATTATTTGTAGGAATTCAGATATCAAATAGGCAGTGCCGAAATTGTAGGACTCTTTATTTATTTATTTGAACACATAAACATTGGTATAGAGGGGCACCGAATACATATGCGCCACAAAAGTCACTTGATTTGTGTGAGTGCTGGGATACTACCCGGGTGCCCAAACCGAAGATGGTTTTCTGAGGGGGTCACATCCGGAGCCTTTGACCTAAAGGTCTCACCCACAAAGCAGTGGAGTAACTTTAGGAGTTCAAGTCCCATGGTAGCCGGTGACCAACAATAGGTTCATACACCATTTGTTCCTTCAGAATCCTGGAGCCCATGTGCACCATTGGTTTGGAATCAGGGTTTTCTAACTCCCCTAGGTGGATCCTTCGTATCCACCATCCCGGTTAAAGCGCCGGACATTCGCTTTTCATCCTCTCAATTTCGTAAACAGTAATGTCGCTAGAAGGCAGTGAGGACTTTCCTGGCAGTAGCTGTATACGCGTGACTATATGAGAACATCTCGAGAGAGCGAACCCTCCCCACCCTCAGACATACCAGAGCATTTGGTGGCCCGAGTATTTAGCTACTGGTTTGCGAGACACTTGATATACTAATTATTCAGTGGAAAACTATGCTAAAAGCATATCCCGATGACAAACAAAGTGAAAGACTTGTCACCTATGACCTAAGACATTAGAGGAAATAATCGTAACTAACCACGTAGGCGTTCTATTTCCTCTTCACTCGGTTCGTTGGCATCCGTAACATCATCTGTCTTACTCAATAGTTGTACACTGTGAGCTTCCAAATAGGTATCAGTTAGTAAACCACCAGAGACAGTATTCAACGATACAGAAGCTTGATTTGTTCGACCGCTGCCAGAAAAGCTTGCTCCGCGTACACTTGGCAGAAAAACACCTGTAACAAGAATATGATCTCCAGGTTGAGCTGCCCGAGTGTTTTCACCTCGAAGATAAATGGTCAGTGCACGAGGAATATGACCAACAGGCACCTGCAATTTGATTTAAAAAACAATATCGACTTTGAATTGATAAGAGAAACAACTGCACAAGAGCACCGTTTTGAACAATCAAGTAGCTAAATAACTAAAATATAGTTCACAATATATGAACAAACAAGCAGAGACAATCCTTTTACCAACCTTTCTTGAACATATTACTAGAGCGTTTCCTTCAATAAAAATCACATGATTTTAATAATACTACTGTGGTGGATGGTACTTACAAGATCGCAGTGGAGTGTCGCATAGGAGTTGCAACAGTCGATAGCCAAAGACAAGAGTTTCAGGAATCTAAAATCACGAGTTAGGAAAACTTGTGAGACCGGAAGAGAAACTACAGAAGACAATCTACAACCAGCTTGTGTTACGGAACACACAACAGATCCAAATGGACGATTAAAGACTAAGTGTATATATTTCATAAACAATCTGTGTTCCCTTTAAATTAATACATATCCCATCTGGGCTTGGCTTACTTGTACATTACGATACGAAATAGTTTAAACAACGGCTTTACCAATATTCCATTCAGTTAGATATGTTCTACCATTAATGAGTGAGTATAACAGAAATTACAATCCGTTCGTCAATGTTTATTCTGAGGTGTCTGAAAATATGATTATTTTTTCCATTCCCATAACTTAAAAGTCGATCATTGACCTGTTTTCCAGAGAAATATAATACGTTTTTCTATACATTTGTTTCAAAGCTAAAAAGTAATCAAAGTCCTCGAGGAAATACGTTGAAAATTGTGATGAAGTCTCCTTTATCATAGTTTAAACGAAACTTCTGGCATTTACTGGCTTACTAGTAGCTACATAAACTAGCTAGATCTTTGATTTTTCGTCCTAGATTCATTTTCTAAGTTCATTACTGGTTTTACAGAGAACTGAAGAATATGCTTCATTGACTGTCTAGCTTACTCCTCCTCAGATAACCTTGGATATCTCATCCTTCAAACGAGGTTCAAAAGATTTTCCGGTTCCCAGTTTTTGGGTCTGAATGTGGATATGTGCTACTGAAGAAGAGCTATTTATTATCTGACCTCTTTTACTGGTAACCGATGTGCTTATCGTTGACCCAATGTTAGAGTTTCATGTCAAATGGTCTCTTACAAAAAAAACTGGTAGTCTCTAGAAACCAAAAGTTGTTTGAATACACTTCTCTACAAAATAGGTTGAGACACTGAAGGACTCATGTATCTAATTGAGCCTACCTACAAGGACGTTAAGATTACCAACCAGTATTGTTTGAACCTTGACGTTTATGGAAACCAGAAATCTAATGACAGAATCCATTCCTTGTCTCAACTGAGGAACAGTAGGTGGGACAGAAGAAATTCCAGATGGGCAGTGGTATCTTTTTGGCTTCTTGCAATTATATCTAATCGTACAGTGAATAAGCGGTCATTGACGGAAACCCAGTTTATGAGTAAATGTCCAGCTTTCAAACATCTGAGATCAAGAAGTCACTAATGAGTCTCCATGAAAGGAGAAGATGAACCATTCCAGTCACCCGTACTGATTAGATGAAGTCAGGTGACCGACAAGGGGTTCGAATCTTAAGTGGTATATGGTGTGTTCTTATTTCAGTCAGATAGTTACAACGTAAAACTTCGTACGTACGTACATCAGTTCGAGTTGCCATACCACTTTAGCACAGAGATGCAGTTGTCGATTCAAATTCCATAGTGGTAGAAGTAGTAAGAGTATAAGCATTAATGTGAAAGATTAGGGTTTGAAGATTTTATTGAATGAGTATAATCCAGTGAAATAAATTTGGAAAGATAGAAAAGATAGAGACATGAAAAATTCATAAGATTAGAATTTGGCAGTTGAATTGGTTGTTGGTTGAATTAAAACAGTGAAAATCCAACATATAGTTTGGGACGTGGTGTCAAGAGACCAAGAATGGCATTTCGTAAACTTATGTTGTCAGCAGTGGTTGAACATGATGGAGGTGAGAGTGATTGGTATTTGCCAGATGCCAAAATCGTGGGAGATAAGTACAAGGGAACCAGTAGTGATAGTTACGTTACATTTTCCAACACCTAGGTAGCTGACTGTTTGAGGTACGCAGAACGGTCAAGTTTAAATTATCATATATAATACGTGAAATGCTTATTGAAATCACTAATTTCGAAGTCAATTACATGCTCATGTACTCGACTGTTAGGTACGTGAACATAAAGGCTATGAATATTATTCATATTATATGAGACACTAGTTGCAATAAACACGATTCTTCAAAAACTGTTAGACTATGCCTTTGCAACAATAAAATAAAACGAAACCAGTATGCTCCCATGAAATCTAAGTATCTCCTTGGGGTGTATTTAAAATATCCAACTGAGAAGTGGATTTTCCCAGAAAAAAACACTTACTTGATCAGATAATTCCTGAATACGAATCTCTTGGAATTTAAGGAACTTGGATCCTCGTGTCTGCATATGTAGTCGACCACCACCACCCGGTCCGGCATTTTTACACGCAGAGGTACCACAAACAGTAAGTGGCATGAACGTTGGGTTATTTATTTCCTGTAAATAAAAAGTCAGCAGTGTATTAATTCACATTATAGATTAGTCAGTTGTAACCGACATCGAGCCTGGCACAAGTGCTCATGATCCCAAGTTGCCAAACTACATCGAAACAACCAGATGAAATAAACAAAATGGATTATAAAGGAGTTAAAATGTGGTAACGATGAAAGTCGGTTAATAAATATTGAGATTAAGGTACAAAGATACAGAATAGTCAGTCACAACGCAGAACCTGTACGTATGTACATCGGTTCAAGTTGTCATACCCCATTAGCAAACCGAGATGTTTTCAGGTCGAATCCCAGAATAGTAGAGATAGTAACAGTATCAGTGATAATGGAAGAGATTAGGCATCCAAAACACTACTCAAAAAGAAAAAATAAATTAGCGAAACGAAAATAAAAGTCAAGGAATTTAGAACCTCAGAATTCGGGGGAACACAAAGAATGGATGAACGTGCTTCATTGCAAACAATTTTGAGCCATGTCATTCAAGGTCTCTAACCACCAGTTACGATAATCACGCTGACCCCAACCAGGCAGTCTGTACCTATTAGTACGGTTAAGTCCAATTGTTAGTGACTTCATGGACTGATCCCATGCTCTGGTTTGGCCACCCCTACCTTTCAGCCTGCTCCTGCACCGGAAAACACCGCTTGTCGAAGTAGGTGGTGGATGGGAATATGTAAAACATGTCCCAGCCACCTCAGTTGATTTACTGCTTCTCCAATCGATTTTCCATCTTTACCTAATCTAAGTATTGCTTACTCCGTGGTCCAAAAATACACGAGCAATACTTCGTAGAGGCCTATGATCGAATATCAGTAACCTATGAATATCCCCTACTTTTAATGCCCATGCTTTATATCCGTAGAATAAAACGGAGTGAACTGTTGCACAGTAGACTCACCCTTTGGTTGACAGACGGACATTGCCACGCCACAAGTGACACAAGCTGGTGAAAGCCAATCGAGCCTTTTGAATAAGTGTCGAGATTTCGTCAGGCACCAGACCATCAGTACTGATGAGACTCCTAATACAAGTAAAGTGGTCGATAAGTTTAACTACTTTACTCTCTATCGTTAATTCAGGCAATGATCTAAATCAATCCTGAAGTAACATTTACATTTGAAGGGAGAGAGCCTCATCCAAACATGCCTGCATTGTTCCTTATGGTGATCAAGAGACTCTGAGTTTTGTCACTAAACAGAATTATATCATCTGCATATTCTGAGTCAACAAGGGAATCCCCTGGTAGGTCAACTCCTGGAAAGTCAGACAATGAAAGTATTATCTCTAAAAGAATGTCTATGTCAGAGCTGGGTAAAAATGAAGGGGGACAACCGTGATGAGCACCACTTGAAGTAACCGATTACGACGACAGTTCGCCATAAGCTCTGATTCGACCAGAAGTGTTCGAGTAGAGAGCCTGCTTAAGGTTAATGTACTTATTTGGCACGCCTTACAAGACACTAACACAGAACCTCATGATCAAGAGTTCATTGCTGCCTTAAGGTCAAAAAATACGACTATAATATGACGTTGAGAAGTGTGTCTATGTCCCAAAATCTGCCGAGGGGTGAATATTTGGCTTATACATCCACGTTCAGGTCTGAAACCAGCCTGGTTTTTTCGCGTTCGCTCTTATCGAGCTCTAGTTAGACGCCGAAAAGTTACTGAGACTAATAGTTTAGATACTATGTTGGTAAAACTGATCTCCGTGATCATCATAAGGGGATTTCTGTCCTTTCTTATACACTGGGACGAACAGTGGTCGAGACCAGTCAGATGGGATTACGTTCAGTTTCAAGATTTTAGCTAAGGTTTCAATTAATCTGACTGCCAAAGCTAGACCGCCATCCTTTAACTTCCCAGGGGTTAGTCCATCAGCCCCTGTTGCTCTCCCTCGCTTCAGATCACTAATAGCCTTTTCGACATTACTGAGAGTTAGAGGACTTGCATCAGTTTGCTATCCAAGTTGCTTGGAGATAGTGGGTAACTGAACCGTGGCTTAAGGTTAGTTGAACTATTCCCTAAGGTGTTCTCCCCATCAGTTTAATCTCCTGGATTGAAAGTGAATAATGGTCTCATTTTTTCCGAAATAGTTTCACTAACAAGAGCATGGTCCAAATCCAAACATGAGCCTCAGGATGAGCAGCAGTTCTCAATCAAGTCCCTTCTATGATGGCTAATGTCATTGTGACTTATTTGAGTTCATCGATGAGTTGATTGTGGAGGTCGCCACATCAGACGATGGTTCTCGTTGTTTTAAGTTTGTGTTTACCAGAAAGACAGTTATTTGAGCATAGTTGCAACTTTTATTTTATTTATTTATTTAAACACATATATATTGGTACAAAAGGGCACCAGGTACATATGCGCCACACAAAATAATGAAAGTAGGTAGATAAAGGATGAAAAGATAAGGCGGGCTGAAATGTACAACCAGAAGATTCTTTCAGTTAGGAAAGTTAGAACCATTCTTTATGTAGAAAGTAAAAGAAGGTTGCAGCAGGATCGCCACTGGCTTATATTCTGAGCCATATCCGATAACGTCTCTAGCCACTGTGTTGCACTATCTCTCGGACCCCAACCAGGGAGTCGTGAAGGACCAACGGAAGCTAGCCCTTTGCAGCTCTCTTTCATGCCACGACACCATGTCATACACTGACCTCCTCTCCGCTTTTTCCAACCAGTCCCAGGGTCGGCAAATAATGCACGACGCGGAAGTCTCTGGGACGACATTCGTAAAACATGTCCGAGCCACCGAAGTCGGTGTTTCAAGATGGTGACACCAATTGAATTATCGTCTCTGCGCCCGAACACACGATGCCGAACCTCTGCATTACTAACATGGTGTTGCCACTGGATGTCAGCAATCCTTCGGAGACAACGATGATCGAACACAGAGAGACGTCTAACATCCTCAACTCGGAGAGGCCAGGTTTCACAAGCATAGAGCAAAACTGCTCTCACCGACGCGTTGTAAATCCGACTTTTTACAGCCAGACTAACATCACGAAGGCGCCAAAGATGGCCCAGATTGGCATAAGCCGCTCTGGCTTTCATTAAACGTGCATCAATCTCATCACTCACGCCACCACCAGCACTTATATAGCTACCTAGATACACGAACTTCTCAACTACTTCGATCTCCTCACCATCCAGGGTGAGTACAGGATGAGAATCCTGCCAGTCTTGTAGAAGTACTTTGCACTTGGAGGGTGCAAAGCACATGCCGTACCTGCGGACACTGATTGCCAACTGATTAAGTGCTGATTGCATGCCTTGGGCATTATCGCACAGTAAGACAATATCATCCGCATACTCGAGGTCGAGAAGTCGTTCTCCAGGCAACATATCCACACCGCCATTACTTACATCCATCAGAGCTGTTTCTAGGATGTCGTCGATGGCAAAGTTGAAGAGGAATGGGGAGATCGGGCAACCCTGCCTAACCCCACTGCTCGAATGGAACAAGGGAGAAAGGTGGTTGTATGCCCTCACTCTGCCTGAGGTGTTCGTATACAGGGCTTTTAAGATGTTAATGAACTTCTCAGGCACACCCTTCTTCAATAGACAATCCCAGAGAACAGTCCTGTCCAACGAATCGAAGGCAGCCCTGATAGTTGCAACTGACAGTCATCATTAGCCGTTCGCCGAGCTGCAACACCGTAAGATCAGCCTGTCTTTTGATTTGGTTTAGTTTACCTACTTGAGCACTGAAATTACCTGCTACAATCGCTAAATTGGATAGATTCTTATAAAATTAATTTTTAACTTCATCCCAACTGCAGCTAGTGCGAACATAGGCAGAGATAACGAAAAGGTAGTGGCGTTTGTCCACATCTTTCCGAGTTCTTACTGTCCCGTTTAGTTGGACAGAGCACAAGTGATTATCTATTGTAATCCAGCTTAACAGAACCTGTTCCGCTCTCGAAATTAATGCTTCACTTACACCGGGAAGGACATGAGAAATAGCATTTGGGTCTCCAGATACATGAAGGGTGAATCGCGCAGGTTCCTTAAACTGACGAAGTAAGGTCAGGCGAGTGACCACATTTGGATCCCGTGTGTGTGTTACGAAGACGCAGCATATATCGATTGCGCGAGATTCTAGAGTCCTAGCTATCCTATCTGACACAAGGTTCGAACATTAAAAGCCCCAACAAGTAGTGTAGAGAGTGGTTTCAATGAACCAGGAATAACATTTCAATAATAATGATAAAATTTTTGGGTGACAACCACCTTATGATACTATTTCAGATAAGAATGAAGCCAGTTTCAGTTGCCTAAATGACCCGTCCCAACCATTATCCGACAATCAAGATGGCAATGTATCCAGCTTTGAGTGAATTTTCTGACTAATAGACATATTTGTACTTTACTATAGAGGATGTACTTGCATAATGCGCTACAGTAGTTCATGGTTGCTCATGGATTAATCTTGACATTAAACGAAAGCACTAAAGGGGTCATCTTCAGCTGTACTTATCAAATCTGTCCAAAGACATTACAGAAAGCTGTTAGAATGACAGAAATTAAAACACCAGTAGTAACAAAAACCCATGTGGTGCCGAAAGAACATTTTAGCATCTTACCTGATATGTTTCAGCACCACAACGATCACAAGTGTATGTCGCTGTTGTTATGAGAGGTTTGACTTCGGTTGCGCGTGTAACAACTCCACGAACCTGAATAAGATGTCCGATGCTGGAAGCCAATACATTCCGAACACACAACGGCTTTGCATCTGACCTACCGCAGAAATAAACCTCACTGGAAGGTAATTCATATTTGATTTAACTTACAAACGTCGTAGAAGCTCAGGCGGGAACCTGGAACGAACTTCCGCCATATTCACAGGTTCAGGGTCGCGGGATACAGCACGTGGGGCTGTCTCTGCATCCGCAGCCCTGATTCTCTGTTCCATTCTAATCCTATGGTCGATAAATATGTCCAGAACATCTTGGGGAACAAGCTACAACCAAGAAGTCAAATACTATTCACGTAACATACCTCAACTGTCCGAAAATCGGGTAGTAAGTCGTCAATAACCTCAGCAAATATCTTTGTGTAGCGAACAGCGTTGCATTCTATCGCGTTAGCTAAGTCGCTGGAGTGTTCAGCCACATCGTCTATAGAAACATACAGCACCGATTGTTCACGATTTGCAATGCGAGTCTTTCAAATAGTGAAAATAAAGCGTAGAACATACCAGCTGTTCACTATAAACAAAGTGCTTATTCCCACAACTATCCATCTTGCTATAAAAACGCAGGAACTGGTCACAAGCTTTCTTGTCTTCATCATAATTCCTTACAGTAGACAAGGCCATAACGAGCTTTCAACTTATATTTCGCTCTTGTTACAGCTAAAAGTTATTCAGTGCAAACAAAGCATGCACAAATAAAAACAAAACTCTGAGAACTGTATGGATTCGTGATATCGAAAGTTGTGTGTCAAACTTCGAATACGTAAGTCCATTTTTAACTTGACATGGAACAGAAAGGCTCAATGATACTCTTGATTGCCATGTTCGTACAGTCTGTGATTATATGGTTCGAATGGTTGTGGACGGAATAGAAGAAGCTTTCGTTTAACGGGCTTCCGTGTCTAGTAGCAGTGGATCACCAATACCTCCAGACAAGAACCTAGGTATATTAACGATAATACAGGGAAAAAAGAAATTGGTAAATCATAATAAGATGTTGTCCTTAGTCCTTAAGAATAGGTCAAGTTTCCTCTTAAAGGACTCCCGGGAAGTCACTTGGACTAGCTCAGTCGGCAGAGAATTCTAACATTCGACAACTCTTACGGAGTAGAAGTTGTGACTACAGTCCGTTCTGCTATGTTGGGTCTCCAGTTCCTGGGTGTTACCCCTTAAGTTAGTATTGTGACTAAGCTTAAGTAGATGTTTAAGGGGATGACCAGAAGCGTTAAGCATACTGTGAGTCGTTAGAAGGTCACCTCTAAGACGCCTATCATCTAACGGGTAAAGGTTAAGTGATTGGAGGCGCTCTTCATAAGGTTTTAATTTGAGTCCCCTGAGAGAAAGTGAAGTTAACCATGACCTTAAAATGTCGGTTTTCTAGATATGAAGCGAGCCAGTCAATCAGAGGTGGTCTGATACCCAATCATCTAAGCTTATTGATAAGACATATATGGTTGACCCTATCAAAAGCTTTTGAGAAATCAAGGTAAATAACGTCCACTTCCCCTTACGATCAAGGATGATTGTCCATCTGTCCACCACAGTCAGCAGGTTAGTTAGACAAGAGTGACCCTTCCTGAAACCATGCTGTTGGGGTGAGAACTTTAGAGATAATAGGTATTCGTGCATACCATCGCACATTAGGGACTCCATAATTTGAGAAAGTATGTAGAGAAGGGCTACCGGTCGGTAGCTTGAGGATTCACTGAGTTAACCTCCTTTGAAAATTAGTGTGACGTGAGACAGCTTCCAAATTTCCGGCAGTTTGCCTCGGCCTAGCGAGTGTGAAAAGTGGTTTCGCCAGGAGTGAAGCTGCTTCCCTCAGTATAGTAGAATGAACCATATCCAAACCGGGAGAAGTTTCTTTTCTTATGTGCTGCAGTTTACGGAACACCAGGTCGGAGCTCAGGTCCACTTTGGAAAGTCCTGTGCAGTTGCAGGTGAAACTTTCATCAGTGTAGTTGATGCGGGTCGGTTGAAATGTCCGAGAATATTGTTTAGCCAAAAGATTAGCGGCGTTCCCGTCGTTATTGGTCGGACCATTAGGACCTAGCAGTTGGGAAACTCCAGTTTTGGCTTGTCGAAGAGAAGCTGCGTAACGTAATAAGCTTTTAGGATTTTAGACGAATTTATCGATAAGCGTGATCTGGTACTGAAGCCTGTCTTCTCTTATTGCATTTGTGCATATGTTCCTTATATGTTTGTATTGCCTGTACGCGCTGTTTTTACCAGTTCGTTTATATTCAGCCCAACGAGTTGCCGACTTCACATTTTCGAATAATCCCAGATCATAAATGATGTTGAAGAACCGAACTTCAGTACAGTTGTCACCTCCAACGTACATGTGTTCCGCGAAGTAGATTCTAGGAAGATTGAAGTCCCCTAGGATCAGGATATAAGAGAATCCGAGACGCGTAGAGCTAGTTAATCCTTCCGGCAAACGATTGTCGTACTCGATGTCAGCAGTGGGCTTCCTGTAGATGACTCCAACTGGACACCTTGAGATGGTAGACAATCTTACTGAGCACCATACTGATTCATCAAGATAGAGAAACTCTTGGTTGTGAAGTTGGTTCACCTCCAGGCATGATCGTATGTATAATGCTACCCCACCCCCTATTCCAGTTTTCCTATCGTTTCGAAACAAAAACATCCCAGGTACTGCTAGCTCCTGGTCCGTAAACTGAGAAGACATCCAAGCTTCGGATATTCCTATCAGATGAGCAACATTAGCGATGTTAAGTTCACGTAGCTCATCCATTTTACTTGGCAAACTCTCAGTGTTCATGTATAAGCAGTTTATGTTTTCAATTTGGAACGCGTGAGCTTCTTCCTGTGTGTCTATATGAGCCATAAGTGAGTGGACAGGTAGCCTACCTATACAAGGTTTTCGGAGTTGGTAGGCCCTGTCCTTTACACTTTTTTTATGGTCAAGGCAGTCCAGAAGTGGTAGTGTCAGCTCCAGCTTGCGTTCGTGCTTGATCCTGTTGTCGTGTGGCCTATCCTGATGCATATGGATTCAAGTTTGCAGCCGACGTCTGTTGACATGAAATGCTTGCTACTTACCGAATTATATAATCTGTCCTCCGACTCAGACACTCCGTCTTGACAACGAAAAATTGCGTACATTACCCCACGCTTTAAAAGGAGTCTAGGATGGATGTAGACAACAACCCATGTTGTAAATTATTATTCACGTCTTTAAAAATGGTGGGTACCTGCTATATAAGAAATACATTGTTATAATATTATGAAAGATGAGGTCAGCCGATGACTCATCGTGCTCACAAGAAATATTAACACTTATTAGCGCAAAAATGGATGATAATCGAAAACAACGCAAGCCTTTGATAAAGACATTTTGAAAATCGGAACCACGGGTAGATGGAGTATGGTTTTTTATCTACTTCGACGGGTTACCAATACTGCTCAAATCATGTACACTGTCAAAATCAGATTTTGGCGGCAAATAAATAATTCCATGGTGGTCTAGCTTCAATTGACTCATGATCTCAACTGTTAAATTTCCATAAGTCCTCGACACTGATGGTGACCTAATTAATTTACAGGATACACCATTGCTGAAGGCGTTCAGTCAAGCAGTGCTACACATCCCTCACAATAGCCAGTCAGCTTAAATAATACACTTCTCAATATACCGGCTATCTAGCAAATATATTGTAGATTAATAACGTATTTAGTCTGTGCCAATGATTAGCGGTCTACTGGAGCTGGACGGGAATAGCATGATTGAACAGCTTTTGTAGAAGTCGAACCTCACAGTTATTACTTGACGTAGATAAGTCCCCCATCATATCCAGGTGCTATGGCTACTTTGATGACTGTGCAACACAAAGAACGTTATGACGGAAATATATTAGTAAGAGTAAGCACGAAAAACAGATTGTGACCACTGCCTCATGGGTTAGTCCATGACATGCAATTAACTGATGAGCATTAGTTGTCCTTGAACTTGACAGGGATCTGTAAACTGTTTGATATTCAGTGACTTGGCTTGACTGATCAGGGACCAGTAACATTTCGATGACCCTACAATGTCTTCGAGCCACCTCATTCCTGGCTCCTGGTTTGACAGCCTCGATTATGAAAGCGTTACGAACAACAACGTTGTCATGCCTTGATCATCCGTGATATTTGAGAGCGACAAGAAATGGGGCTTGTCATTTTGATCTTCGAGATGATTTAAATGAGTTAGATAGTTCAAAATTTGGAGGAATTGCCTTTAAAAAACGTTGCTAAAGCATATTGATGACAGTAATGGTTACCGTTATGCCTTAAAAAGTACATCACTTCTATATATTCAGGAACAAAATGCCGTAGGAATAATAGTAATTCATGAATTGGAAATAAGTGCAAATCGCATTCCTACAACTGCCAAATATTTTCAAGTTTTATGGTCACTTCACCGAGAGTGTTTCAGATTTTATACCTCACCTCTGTCAAACATCACTCAGAGTATGGCATCCAAGTAACTGGTCCATGTCTTACTATGAGCACTATCACCTTCAAGGGTGTTTAACTTGTGGAGACCGTCAGTGACGAATCTTTTCATACCTTCATGCGGTGAGGATATTAGTGAGAGTAAATTTTTGATCGAATGGTCAATGATTGAAACACCCTATACGAAAAGGTGTGTAGCGGTAAATAAATACCCAAAATAAATAATTATGTACGTTTTCGACATTGATGCCGACATCATTAGTTTTAATGAACACACCTAGCTAGGGGCTATCGGTCACGGATCTACTACAGATTATGAGTGGGTACTCCGTGCTACGCATCACTTGCAACCGTTTGCCATCTTAGACAAAACGCCTTCCAAATATGTCTCCAAACCATTTCATTTCTTACTAGACCTGACTGTGATGGCATACATCGAGTAACAAGGCGTTCAAATGGTTCAAATGGTTGAGGACGGAATAGAAGAAGCTTTCGCCTAACGGGCTTCCGTGTCTGGTAGCAGTGGATCACCAATACCTCCAGGCAAGAACCTAGGTATATGAACGATAATAGAGGGAGAAAAAAAAGAATTTGGTAAATCATAATAATATGTTATCCTTAGTCCTTAAGAATAAGTCAAGTTTTCTCTTAAAGGACTCCTGGGAGGTCGCTTGGACTAGCTCAGTTGGCAGCGAATTCCAGCACTTGACAACTCTAACGGAGTAGAAGTTGTGTCTGCAGTCTGTTCTGCTATGTAGGGTCTCCAATTTCTGGGTGTTACCTCTGAGGTTAGTGTTATGACTAAGCTTAAGAAGGTGTTTAAGGGGATGACCAGAAGTATTAAGGATACTATAAGTCATAAGAAGATCACCTCTAAGACGCCTATACTCTAACGGGTAAAGGTTAAGTGATTTGAGGCGCTCTTCATAAGGTTTGAATTTGAGACCCCGAACTGATTTCGTGGCTCGACGTTGTATACGTTCCAGAGTGACCTTATCCTTTTGGAGGGAGGGAGGAAATACTATGTTTCCGTACTCTAAGTGGGGACGAATAAAACTGTTGAAGATTATGTGGAAGGTTCTACCGTCAAACTGGCCAAAAATGCGCTTCAATGTTACCAGTGCAAGGTTTGCTTGAGAGGCGTTTTTGTCACAGTTCGCGTATGATTTCAGGTCGTAGGGTACCAACACTCCTAAATCTT